GAGCGCGTAGTAAGTATTTGCATGTATATAACCTGTGCGTTGAGTGCACTATACACGTACTTATATATGTTGTTCATAAAGCGAAACAAATTGTGAATTTTTTCGATAAACTCCTTGTTCGATCGGAACAAAGTGCATCGATGATATATATGCTTGCACTCCTGTCGATGCTCAAATAAAATAAAACGTAAAAACATTAATAAATATCGATAATATGTACATGTTTATAACACGCTTACATACTTATGTAAATTATAACGATCGATTTGCAGAAACGAACGGTAAACATGTGTGCCCATAGCGCATATAAAATCGATCTTATTAGTACGAATACGCGAATGAATTGAAGTTATTGTTATTGATTAATATGTTTAAACTGATTTGTGGAATCACACCGACAGCAACGCGTCGTGAGAGGTATACGATGCGCAGCGCGTTACTGCTCTGTAGAAAAGAAAAGAAGAGAATGTGTGTATAGGGTGGTCCTTATTTATGGGAGAAAAAAAAAATTTATATTTTTGTTGGACGACACTCAATATTTTTAAGAAACATATAAAAATAATGCCTACGAAGTTTGGTTATGATAATTCAATTTTAAGACGTGGCGCGAGGGAGTTGAAAATCGCCCAAAGAAGTTGAATGATTTGTTTATTTTTTTTTTTTCTTAGAAAATAATTGATTTACAAGAAAATGTTTAGCCTTATATTTTTTTAGGTATTGTTATGTTCTATTATACAATTAAGGTTCAATTAATTTTTACTCGAAGCGCTGAAGTTTTAACATAAACTTTAAAAACTAAAAAAATATTGCCTTTCAGGCAATTTTCAACCCCCTTGCGCCGCGTCTTAAAATTGACTTATCACGGCCAAACTTCGTAGGCATTATTTTTATATGTTTCTTAAAAATATTGAGTGGTGTCCCGACAAAAATTTCTACTTTCAAATATAAGGACCACATACACACTGTGTATGTGCGGGAGGAAGAGAGGAAGATAAACCGAAACGGATAAGATCGTGGTCAGGTTAGATAGGTACGATTGTATTGTGTGCACCTTATGCAGAAATACAATACACGTAACATTTATTTACATGGTTTTCGTCCGAATATTTACCGAATCGGTGAAATATTATTTTATGTCACGATTAGAGCGTTTGAGTACTGTTCGAGTAACAATAATGTGGATAGAACATGTACATGATCGGCGAAACGATTTATACGGTTATAATTCGTATCCACTGCTCTGGCAAAAGATATCGTTGACGAACAGTGAGGTTTGAAACCTGTCGACATTTTGAAAACCGAACGTGATCCCTGCAGTTTACACTGAGTCAATCGGATTTCGGATACTCGACTATTAATAATCACGGTATGAACTCACGAAGAAAATTCATCGCTAATTAACGTCAAAATGTAGACTTTTGGTTTACGATTACAGTAGATTATTTTTGTGTCAACCGTTTAATTCTGACGAAGAAAATGCCATCAAAACAATAACAGTCGAGTTATTTATTTTAAGTACGCGTAGTTAACGTTTTTTATAACTAGTTACATGTTATGTTACTAATTGTATGTTATTATTCAATAATGATTTATCAGTATTAAGTGTACGGCACATAGGACATTAGTATGTTATTATAAGACATAACATCGTACAAAATAGTATCGTATATTATGATATACTACAAATGTGCTTTCTATATATCACTGTTGGACATTTTTGATTTATTGTCAATGTTCATCAATCGGTCACGATTTATTACTAATGCGAAAAACATCTAGCAATTAATAAAGATTTGTTCATAAAAGAATTTCATTTCAACTTAATTATAATGTGTGTATACGCATCGTGATTTTCTATGTAATTTAAGTAGTTTTTTATGTATTTAAAACATACAAATACAAAGTAGAAAACTATTTTTCGCTTCAATTATGATACATTATATGTACATGTCATAATGTTTTTGAGTAATGATTTATTTCAGTTGAAAATCGTTATTCGTTTTGGGAAATGGAACATTTTATTTGATGTTTGATAATTATCACGTTTATACTGTTTTTATAGACAAGAATATATCTGGTTACAGATAGTTGGTGACATTTTACCGGTCTTACTGATCCTCGGCCAGTCTATATATATGTTACCGGCAATATGGATAAACCGGTATTTTGCAAAATACCTAGGCATTATATAAAATGCCAAAAATCACTCGGAAATATACATAATATGAGCTTTGCCTAGGTATTATGTACAACGCCAAACGTGGAGTAAGCAGTATGATGAAAATAAACAAAATTGAGCATCACCTATTACAAACAACTTAACTTATCGTTTATCATAAATGTGTGCGCACGATAAAGATAAAAATTAAGATTATTATACTACTACAATAATAACTATGAGGTATAATATTGAACATATTAATAACTTGTATTACGATCCCGTCATTTTCGTGTCTCGTTATGGTGTTGCACCTATAGATACGATTTATATGAAGTCACATTTTCATAACGAACTACAAATTTTTTTAAAAAATTTGGCCATATATACTAGTTTTTTATCTGATGAGCAGTATAATGAGTTGATAAAAATTCAATCCACAAAGAAAGAATTGGCCAAGGATTTTTAAAATGTGTTTGTAAGTAGTCCAAGTGTCAAAATAAAAAGTGTATTTGCCTTAAAAATAATATTTCATGCGCTTCAAAATGTCACTTTTCTACAACATGTTAAAATAAGTAAATAGTAGTTTAAGCAAAATATTTATATAATAGTAATAATATAATAATAGAAAAAAATTAAATTTTGTCTGTAATATGAGTAATAATATATAATCATTCAAAGAATCTTAATATAATATTATATAATGAAATGTTTTGTATTTTGCCTAAAAAAAAAATCGGTATTTTGCATAACGCCCGGGTACTTTATAAAATAACTAGGTTACATGTAAAATAATATTGAAAAATCATGTGTTTTATTTAGATTGCCTAAAATTGGTCGGCAATTTGCATAATGCCTAGGCTTTTTGCAAAATACCTGAATCATCCATATTGCCAGTGACGTGTATACGCTATCATGAATTTTTTTTTCCGAAAAAATAGAAGCAAAATATCATTCATGGGTACGCATGAGATCAAATTTACGGATACGTTTCGTAGAAAATTTCGAAAATTAAACAGTGAACGACTCCCAAACACACCTATTTCCACACGATCCATGCATTATGTATATAGCACGTACTATCGTGTTGAATGGCACTGATTAAAAAAAAAAAAATTCCCGTTATGAGACCGCGCACGAAATGACGTAAAAACCAAGTGGTGGTTGTTGTTAAATTTTCGTCTACTAACGACGTTCACGTTTTTTTTGTTTTTAATAGCTGTAACGCGCTAATTACCATGAACGCGACAACGGAGGACGCATTGCTGCGCGCGACGGGATTTTAAAAGCAATCAATCATACAAACATTTTAAATGTTAACCGTACGGCGAGTTGATAAACAGTCAACTGCCATACAGCAGTAAAGTGCGTAATAAATTAAGTGAATTGTCGTGTTGGGAACGTGAACATTTTATGTAATAATGACGACGATCGGAGATGAAAATTAATGTTTCGGTGTACGGTTTAAAATTATATAGATTTATGTAAACATCGGTGACGCTAAAAATTATAGCGACACGAGATCGTTCGTATATTTGCAGCCGTATCGATCACATATCGGAGTAAGGATAACTTAAAATATTATTACAGATGTACGGTAAAACTATACTGAGACGCCTTTTTAGTGATCAGCCCAAAGAGTGTAAATAATGTACACATAATGTACCTACGGGTATAAGTTGAAAAATTTATCAATACATACATAATTTTTTCATTTTTCCGATGTGTTAGGAAAGAGACTATTTATAATTTATTATTTTATTTTTAAGATTCTGACTACATGTTACAGTAGAGAAGTATTCAAATTCATTCGATAATTTGTTGGCAATAACGGAATAACTATGTACGAGAAATTTTTTTTTTATGGGACGTATTAGTTGTCAACGAGCTGAACAATACTAAGCATATTTTTTACCAATTGTTATTTATTGTTAACTTAATTTAATTTATATTTTTATTGTCACTGCACATCATACTATAATTACTATAATTGATCGTGCTCGCCTAACCAAAAGAACGATGTTATAAATTAGGACAGGGAATGTTCTAGGCTGGGAGAGTTGACTATTTTTTTTAACACGTTAAATTAATTTAGAAAAATATATATTAAAGTTAATAGTTAAAAGTTACTTTTATTTTTTATTACCTAATCATTATTTTTTTTTCCTAAATAGCATTACATTTTTTTACAAATGTAAAAACGCTATATTTTTGTACGTTATTTTGATCACTGGTAAAGTCCAGAAATGGTGTAATAGACACTTGCACAATTATAATTCCCATTATTATTACAATAATAATAATTTATACAAAATAATACACTTTGAAACTATTAATTTCTGGAATTAAAACGACAGAAAAAATTAACCGGATGTGATTAAAAGATTAGATAACTACCTAGTTATGTATCATAAAACAAAAATGTCAATCGTTAGGTAAATTTGTTAGCTCAAATTTTTAACTAGCCAATACCCAGTTTAGAACATTTCTATGTGGGTGCTTCGATGGAAGACTTGGTGTACCATCAGGCTCCTACGTAAAGGCGGTTGGCCTCAAATGGTAAAGCGGATGTCCTTACAATTACCCAGAGACAATAAAATATTTACATTTATGTATGTGCGGGTGACCAATAATAATAAGAATAAAAATACAATTAATGAATGGCCGGTGTTGGGCCTACAACACTTAAATAATAATAATAAAGAAAAATTATTATACAGAATAGAAAAAAAATGGGCGCCCTCGTCTATCATAAACACACAAATGTAAATTAATAAAATACGAGTAATACGAAATAAAAGAAAAATAGAACAAATATATACATATGTAGTAATCTACTCACATAAAAGTTGATAAAAAGGTAAAACATCACCAACTGCAGGAGAGCCAACTGCACAGCATGGACCGGCGGCACACAATTTCGGTCACACTGGGACCGACTAGCGGCAAACACGCACGACGGCGAAGGGTCGACCTACAGCAAGCATGCACGACGGCGAAGGGCCGACCAACAGCAAACACGCACGACGGCGAAAGGGCCGACCAGTAGCAACGCACAACGGCGAAAGGGCCGACCAGCAGCAAACATGCGCGACGGCAACGGACCGACCGGCGGCAAAGCACACACGACGGTGTAAAAAACAACGCACCGCACAACGCGCACACACGACGCAGAGCGACAAAAAAAAATATTATCGTCCACAGCGGACACTCACGCGTCGGCGAAAACCGCGGTCACGCAACGATACGTACTGTGTGAGAGTTCAAGTACGACAAAAGACGCGACAGGCCCGGTACGGCTCGACGGTCGAAATTGCGATAACGCAGGGCAGAGCGGGGAGGGTGGTACAAACGATAGAATTTTCTAGAACAAAAATAGTTTGTTATCTTTTGAACACTTGGTCTTATGTACGGCTAAACGTCTTTAGCAGGATCGAGTTGTACAATACGTTTACATAAATATATAATTACGCATAAATATGTATACCTATATTTAAAGGGTTAGCGGATTTACATGCTGATTTTATTAAACGTACGTGCGCAATTTTTTTAACAACCTAGATTAAGGGGCGAGGGCTATTCAGAAAGTAAGAAACGTTTTTGAATATAAAAAAACCAAGTACAGTAAAAACATTTTATTATACACATGTGAAGGAGGGACTAATATACTACTTGTTTACATAGTCACCATACAAATTCAGGCACTTATCGTAACGGTGTACAAGCTTTAAAATTCCTGTGGCATTGAATTCTGCCGCATGTGATCTCAGCCGCTCAGTGACGCGTACCTGGAACTCTTGATCATCATGAAAACGCTGTATTGCGAGGCAGTTCTTCATTTTTGGGAACAAGTGAAAATCTCTTGGAGCAAGATCAGGACTGTCGGGGGTTGAAGAAAAACTTCCCAGTTGAATGAGTTTAAGAGTTCTTGCGTACGGTTTGCAGTGTGCGGTCGGACATTGTCACGCAAAAACAAAATTTTGTTCAAAACAATCCTTGTTTTGGATAGCTCTCCGATAGGTTTCGCAATGTTTGGCTCAGAGTTAATTGTTGCACCACGCTCGATAAAATCAATAAGAAGAACACCTTGCCTGTTCCAGAACAATGTTGCCATGATTGTCGGCAAGGAAGATTGCACAGGCGGCAGTATTCTATGACACAGGAATTTCTAAGCTTGTACACCGCTATGATAATAAGTGCCTGCATATGTACGGTGACTATGTAGAAAAGTTGTATATTAGTCCCTCTTTCACATATATATATATAGTCCACAAAAAAAATCTAACGGTGAAAAAAGGCCAAGTTCCAAACTCCCTATTGTATGTACGAAAATTCGTACATAGATGTTTACTTATGTTTTAACAGTACCAGTTCTCTCCATTTGACACATTTCTCATCTCATATGAATTTTTACGTCTTTTCCATCATACTATCGGTTATCGTTTTAAATGCTGCCTTTGACGGAACGAATTCTCACTAACTAATCAGCTGTTCGACTTGTTCAGATATTTGTTGACATTTATTGATTTTCGATCCTGTTATTTTTGATCATGGATGTTCCGACGTATATTTTTTCATTGGCCTCGCAACCTAACACAACATACATAACTTTGAACCCTCCCATCAACCCTTGGGTGATTCCTCCGCACGGGCCTGCTATCGAATGTTATCTATCACTTGTGTCGAATGATTCCGTCGCACAAGCGGGATCGTGCAGACATGCGTGCCCGCAGGAGGGGGGGCAAGGGGCCATTGGCTTTACTGGGAATTTTTGTTTCAAAAACATTTTTAATTTAATACCACCCATATTAATTATAACATCATTTTATTGAGATTCATTTATGAAGTTTAGTAAAATGTATTATAATTTTAGATAATCTAATAAGTGTATAATCTTGAACGTATTTGTTAGTTTACAATGTTCACACATGACTACATATCGCTTAAGACTATACATTTTCTCGAGTACCGATTTCTATGGTATTTTTAGATCTATTTTTAGATACACGTTGTTTTGGCCCTTAGAAATTTAATCTTGCGCTGGCTGGAATTTTATCCTGCAGGCACACCTGACCATGTCCGTTTACGAACACGCGGGAATCCGCGAATCATACGTACACAATCCATTCCGAACGCATCGTTGCCGAATCGTCAGTTTGTTGAGGGAAAAAACAGCATAGGCGATTTTCGCGCTTTCAATCGAACGTTACGACGAATAACGTTCGGACGAGTATGGCTCATTGACATAAATTAACGATTCCGAAGACACAAATAGTTATTATCGAACGCTCGGATCGGTACGGCGCGCATTAACCGAACACGGGACACGGCGATTGTGCAACAGCGCCCGCGTTATTAATGCAAGCACAGGATACACACCTACGCGTCGTTGTATACAGCGCATTCATACATTTTCTCGAAATATTCCTTCGTGACAGGCGGTCTCTTCCTGTTGCGCGCAAGCGATTATATTATTACTATTATATCCGGCACCGGACCCCGGGCACGACGCTACTCGCAGACAGGCACCGCCCGTTTAATGGATCTTTTCCTTCGTAAGGATAAGAAGAAAAAAAAATTCGCCATCTTCGCTGCTGACGGTCAACAGCCCCGTGTCGTTGTATACCGATAATAAATACATCGTACACGTGTCGTCGGAATCGTTAACGCGCACAGGAGACCGTACGTAACACGTTGTGTACGCGCACGTCCGTCGAAACGGGTGTAAAAAATTACCTTTTGACGCGGTCGGCGGCGAACGTAAATCACGGCAAAGGCCCCGCCGTGACGACCCCGAGAAACCGAAGATAATCCGCAACCGTCGGCAATCGTCTTCTCCACAGAAATAACGCGCGGACCGGTGTCGTCCCGTATTTTTTTTTTTTTTTTTTTGTACGCGTAACAACAACAATGACGTGATCGATACGCGTATGTGCTGGGCGTTGTGTATCATCATCATCATTATTATTGTTATCGTATCCCGATAGTCCGGGGCGCATCGTTAACAGGGTGTCGCGGACGATGGTTTCTCGGGGGCGCACTCCTCGGGGTGTAACACGTGCGCGCGCGCGGTCTTAACGGTCGGCAACATTATCTCACACGACGACGTGTTGCTGGTTAGTCTGCCGGACATTTTTTTCCCCGAGCAACGCATTATTAACGATCCCGGAGACTCGGTACGTTTGCGCCCTCCCGCCAGGCACTCGGTAAGCGATCCACGTTGAAAACGAAACGAACGCGCCAAAGTCGATTCGGACCCGTCCGCGTCGTGTTGCGACGTTGATGATGCGTGCCGCGGCGAACGGCAATCTCCGAGTAAAACACGACTACGAAATAAATTACACATGTGTACAATAGAATGATGTACATGTATTCCCTTTTGTGTTCGACCGTTTACACGGCGACACACACACACACACACACGTTCAAACCGAATTGCATTTGTAGTTTTTGAACAAGTTCCAGTGAAACGCCGCATGCGGAAATCGAATGCGGATAAAAATTATTCGACATAATGCAGTGGTTTGGCGATTTCAATTACGCAGGAGCCTGCACTGATAAACATCGATTGACGATTACGAAGAAAAACATCGTTTCGCGGGTCGCATACCAATCGACTGCAATCGAACGATCAACTTAGGGCTTGCCACTGGTCTACCGTGGTATGCGGACCTTCCAAGGCCGTATATGGAGGGAGGGTCCAAGGTATCTGGACCCCCCCCCCCCCGAAATTTTTTCAATATTTTACGAATATTTAAAATACGCTTTCGTCGTATCGATAACGATTTAGTTTGTACCGTGGATAAATTTAGATATCGTTTTCCAAATAACTGGTGATGGGCATAATATAGATTTATAATTTTTCGACATAAAATGTCAATGTGTCTCGCGGTATTAAGACGATTATTAAAAATCACGGGGCCCTGGACAAATGTCCCATTTGTCCTCACACAGCGCCGGCACTGGGCACCGCGTCGCACCACAGCGTTCACGTCGGACACATAACATCTGCGTTAGTGTACACATAATATTTACGGTTTTACACACATATTACATTATATTTGTAACGCGTGCGGCGGCGAGCGGTACAGCGACGCAACGGTACAATAATGATAGTAATAACAACGCAACAGTCGTATATAATGATACGCGATAGGGGTAAAAAAAAAAAAAAACCAACCGTGATGATAATGTTAGTACGTAATGGCTAGAAAAAAAAAACCCAACTAAACGATTCGGTGACCGCTTTACGATCTAAACTCGTTTGTTATTATCCTCCGGGCTCCGAGATCTCTCTCTCTCTCTCTCTCTGTCTCTCTCTGTCTTTACACACATACACACACATATACTTCTAATATAACTTAATACACACATAACGATGATCTCAGGTGGCGCGCGTTCGGCTACCCTTCCCGACCGACTAATCCGACTTAATGCGCTCGTCGAGAACACGGACGCGCGACGATGTCCGTCGTGTTTCGTTTTCAAAGCGTACACAATAGTTACCGCGCGACTGCGACTAACCGGCCGGACGTGCGTCTGCCGTACACGTACATCAACCGCAGGGCCCAAAGGACGGCGTAGACGTTTACGTTTTATGTAACGATGCCCGTGTGATGATTATGGCAGCGCACGCGCGCGTTCGTCCGACGGTGGCTGCGATACACTACCGTTGTAATAGTGCAACGGCAATCACGATGATTGTACTACATGTCGGTCGACTAGACCCGCGAGCCCGACCGTACACACCACGCGGTACACATGTACGACGTTTGCCGACCAAGAGATCTGTACGACGGCAAAAATTAGCCGTTCGAAAACGGGTACGACTATCCGAAATACGGCGGAAGCAGTGGCGCGCACAGAAAATATTTTCCCGAGGGGCTACTACGGGCAGAGTTAAATGACAACTGCTGCTATCTAAGAATTCTAACAAGGTACACGTTTACATTTCATTTACAGAATGTCCCAAAACGGTTCCACGTTGGACGCGAGTTCTAAATAAGCGTAAAGTACCGTTGACATACGTTTAAAATTATTTTTAAGTTAAATCGACACATTTCGGGGTGAGGGGGGCTGCAGCCCACTAGCCTCCCAACCCTCTATACACGCCACTGGGTGGAAGCGTACACGGGTAAGCCTTAAAGCTGACGGGGAACGCGAAACGGACCAAATGCACCAGCGCTTCGTCTCGACGTCTGTCCGAAAAGTTCACTGCGAAACGTTAACAAAATCGTAACGACGTCGTAAACGTAATAAACACAACATTTTTTTCCCTTCGCGGTTATCAACTATTACGGCCGTTTGAAACACGGTGTGAAATCCGACCGGCGTTGTAATAACGTCGTAACGATGATAACGTCCGGCGCGTTATATCATAAATAAAGTGAGCGATCTCCGGGATGGGTACGCGACGAGCTCCCGTCGAACAGGTATAATTTTACGCGCGTCGCGTTCGCGTCTAATTGCCGTCGTCGTTACATGTACACCGTCCGGAGACGATATCGTTTAAGACGGGGCAGCGCCTCTCCGAAACGTAAATGATACGCGCGCGTACACGTGTACGGCGACGATTACACACTGTTGCGAGACCGTTTGCCCGCGCAACGGGTACCCGGCGCGTATATATCACTCGTGATATGTCCATAAAAGTATAAACGCGTATTAATATTCGAATTGCACTTGTTACCTACAAATAAACGGTCGAATTGCGCTTGGATTGAAAAAAGGTAATGGTCAAACTGCACTCCTTCAGAAAAAGAGTTAAAATGGAAAATCCTTTAAAAATATTACGAATCTTTCTGTTGATGAACGCTACGGCGTACTTATTAAATAGCATTATATATTAGTTCGTGCCATTTAGATAACGCAGATAATGTTATTTAATAATAACACATATAATAAATGCCATATATTAAGAAGCGTATAGAATTTTTGAAGACAGTTGTTAGTCATTACTACAAAAAATTATCGAAATGACAATAATTAAATTTGATGATTAAAAAAAAATAATAATTATAAATATTATATTAATTATAATAATATTAATTTATAATAAAAAAAAAATGTATAATGTATAATGTAAATATATATAATTAACATATAATAATGTGATGTGTAAAACAATATATTTTAACCACGCCAATGGTTACTAAATGACAATAAATGTAACTAAATAAAATAAATCTAACCCCTTCAAATGCATAATAATTTTAATGAAATACTTTTTTGAGTCCAAGCGCAGTTCGATCATTACCTTTTTTAAACCCAAGTGAAATTCGACTATACCATTAATATTGTGTTCGTACGATGGTCGGTGTTAACGCGCGTCCGATGGGGAGATAGCAAAATACGCAGTCGATGTGTTGGCCAACAGGAGTGGGTACGAGCACAGGCGTAACTTGGAAATTTATTAAGGGGGGGGGGGGGGGCAAAAATGTAATTACGCTGTAAAACACGCGGCTATAATTTATATTAAATCGTCCCGTCGAGACGTTATGAGGAGAAAGTGGAAACGGTTCCGCGGTGATCTACAATCAGTATGAACCGCGTTTCGGAATTTTCTCGTTTTCGCGTTTTTCTGCTGCAGATTCCGGTAACAATGCGGTGACACACGATTCCGGAAAACTGTAAGCGGTACGCACCAGTGCCGTACCGAGCCATTTTTTACCCCGAAGCAGAACTGAAACAATGCGCCCCCTAGGTTGTACGGTTGCCACACTCACAGCTTTTAATATGTACAATACGATTTGGAAGCAACCGGAAAAATCATAATTAGGTTTCTAGCGAAACAAGAAATAACATTTCTTCTTAAAATAACTTAATCATTTGATATTATTGCGCCCCCCAGCTTCAGACGCCCAAGGCAAGTGCCTCGTTCGTCTCACCCTTACGACTCTAGTACGCGCAAGAGCAAGTTCGAACGTAAATCGTATTGCGCGTGGAGTGTCGTCGTGTTATGCGATTTCCGGATCGTTTGCCGACGGGCTGAAACTGAAACGAAGGACCGCTCGTCATCCCGTCGGACTACGTTCCCGCGTCACTCGTCGACCCGAGATCGGAATCTAGCGGTCTCTCGTACGTAACCGTACGTGTTACATTATACGTTTATGTTTCAGGTGTACATAAAACGCGACAATAAAACGATAATTAAAATACACTCGGTAGGTATGTAATATTATAATGGACGCGGTACGCGTAAACGCGCTACGTGTGTTGGGCTGCGCGTCCGGTAGTTATAACATACCGGTGTAATAAAAATTTATTAAAAGAAACGGAACGGTTGGATACCGGCATCGTGGTGAGAGGGGGGTAGAAGGGACGAGGAAGTCGGAGGAAAGACAACAAAAAAAAAAAAAAAAAAAATGAATAAAATACTCGTTTTTCGACGGACCACGAAAACACCAAATATCTCAAGTCGAAAACGATGTTCGGAGGGGAAGGAGGCGGAGAGAAAATGAGAAGGAAAAAAATTGAACGCCGCAGGTTAGCTACGCTGACAACCGCGCCGGCGACGGCCCGTCGCGCCACCGTACGACCGCGGCGCGACACGTATTCACAAATAAACAATTATTCATATCCGTCTGGTACGTGCGTGCACGAACAGCGTGTATTATTACGCATAACATTGTACGGCCGAGCGACGGACGAAAAACAACGCGTCGCGTACACGTGTCGTGGTCCGCGGGCCGAGTTACCAAAGTTAACCAGAGCTACCACGAAACGGTGTACAACGGACAACGTGAGTCGTTGCACTTTTACCACGAGACGGCCGTCGGTACTAACGCGGTCACGTTATCGCGGGGTGAATCGACACGATACAGTGGCGCGCAGAAGGTTCCCGGTCCGCATTGTGTCCGACCGTGTGCACCTGTTTCGGTCAGTGGCCCACTGACGCGAACGAGATGTCCCTTTAAAAGAATGTCACAAAAAAATGAACACCAGTTTTCGAGAATTCCGACCCGGGACCCTACGCGTCGAGGAGAGGAATATTCGTACACATCGGTCGCCTATCCTAACCGGGACGGGTTCACGTCGACGAAGGACAATGGGTACATTTTGAAATCGTTTGCCGTATTCAATGTTTGTGAAAATATTATTACAATAACGAATTTACTAGATCCGATAAAGTCGACATAGATAGACGATAACGGCATAAGGGTTTCCTGTCACAAGCTTAAGCGAATAAATTGTTTTAGGGGTTGGCTTAGGGTTATTTCACCCCTAGACACCGAAAACAATTGTAGTCATATACTATTTATCTTTCCAGTTGACTGTATTTTTGGGGAAGGGCAGTTACAAAAATATGCCGATTGCATATAGAACACACAGTGATTTTTTCAGATCAGTCCACATATGTTAGAAAAATATACCATACACAACATTTTTATAAGACTACGGTGTTACAATTGTAATATGCGGTATCGCACACCTAGATCAAAACTGTAACAACTTAAAAAGTAGCTATTTTTAGAAAATTATATAATTAGAAGGTTCTACAAACAAAGCTGTCTAACCAAAAGAAACAATTTCAAATCTATCTTGATTACTCTCAAAAAGATAGCGATCTAAGCACTTTTTGTTGAATGATGACAACCAAAAAACCGTTGCAATTTATATAATTTTAAACATAAAAAGTTATTTTTTTTTTAATTGTTACAGTTTCGATGTAAGGGTACGCGATTTTTTATACAATTAATTAAATTAATAAATCAATTTGTGGGATACAAAAACATAATGGGAAACTTATGGTTAATCTTATATACGAAAGAAACGCAATTATTATCGTATTTTAAACGTAAGGTTATAGCAGATTTGAAGGGAAGGTGACGGGGAGAAGAGAAAAAAAATCGTATCGAATACGTTCGTGATGTTGTCGATCGGGGACAAAGATCCGACGAAACTTCGAAACCACCCCTGCACGGGGTCGCAAGACCCAAAAAAAGGCGCGTACAAGGTTTCTTCGGGCCGGAAACGCGTTACGTGGAGCGTTCTCATACGGAAACGAAAGATCCCCTGCTCCCCGGCCACCAGATCGCATCCGCCGGCGTGGAAAACACGTGAACGAGACGAGCGTGTACGCGGTCAAGAGATCGCACCCGAAAATATCTGAAGAACGGTGGGGAGTGGAGGAAGTGGAGAGAGAGCTGAACTCGCAGGACGGATCCCGGAAGCTTCCGTTTCGCGATCCCGCAGCGGTTCGCCCTCAGGGTCCTGTCCGGAAACGACACGTGCAACCGTCTTCGGCTCTTTTCCGCCCGTCTTGTGCGCAACGCCACAGATGGTTGCGCGACACCAGGACTCCCCGTCGGGTCACCGGCACACCCGCCGAGCCCATTCCTACGCCTCGACGCGGCGATCGGGTAGTGGTGATCTGCCAGCGCACACACAACGTCCACCTGAGCTCGTATGGGCAACACGCACGGGTTACCATCGCCTTCTCCGCCTACCAGTCGTCGAGACCGAACGTTTCGCTCTCCACGCCCGGGACAACCCTTCCCAGGGCCGCAACAAGGGGGCAGCTGACCTACACCCCGGGCGCGATTCCTGGGAGAGCGCATAAATGAAAATCTCATGTTAAAAATTACAACGGTCAATGTCGTACATTTTGTTTACAAAAACTTTAACATCTTTCATATTAATTAAAGCAAACATTGAAAATAATATCAAATCAACGTAATATTTTTAAATTGAAAATACATAAAGGCACGTTTTGAAATTTCACCCCGGGCGCAATGTTTGGTTGCTACGGAAAAACGCGTCCGACGGACTGTGGTGGTGCATTCGATCGCCGTGGAACGATTTTCCGGTCAACTGGTCGCGTCGCGACCGCAAACGTCCTGGTCGGAGTCGCGCACCCGTCGCCACCGGTGTCCCTCGAAACGCGTTCCGGTGCCGGACGAAGAGCAAACGAACCCGTCGGGTATCGCGCGTCCCACGTGTACGTTAGCGCAGCGGGTGACTGCATGCGGAGGTCAAGATCGTCTCGGGCGCCGTTGTCGGACACACATCACGTATAATGTATGTTGTATAAAACCATATGTATAAAAAAACAACGCTATTTTAAAGAGAAAAATTAATCGATTTCTATTTCGTTTTTGTTTTTTTTTTGTTTTTTGTACACAGTAAATAATAATAATAATAATAATAATAATAATAATAATAATGATATATAATTTATATATATATATATGCATATGTGTATATATATATATAAATAAAAAAAAAACTAATTAAATAAACAACGAAAATCCATAACTAATAATAGACATATTATAATATATTTCCCCTCAAATTGCACTCCAAATCGATTTTTAAAATATAAATCCATATTTACAAATTATTCATAATAGATAACACGTAGTTTTAGATACATATATTTAATATATTTATAGTAAAATAATCGCACGGGCGATCGTGTATTTCTGACGCGCGCACACATTAACGCGTGTGCACACCGTAAATACATAATTCTAGTATAATACATTACGTTATATTACATTCATATTTGCAAATACACACGAGAGAGGGGTGGCTAATAATATATTATTTTGAGAACACAAACGTAATTTTTCAACGATATACAATATATATAATATTATGTATGTAAGTAGTAATAATAATAATAATAATAATAATAATAATATTTAGAATAATAATAATTATAATGATAATTGTAAGTTAGTTTTTACAAATCTACAGAAGAATGTTAGAACGGTTAAAAACCGTTTCGCGACGCGGAATCAAATAACGTCCGGGGGTATGATGCACACACCAAGGCGGCGAAGTGATTGGATGTTGTGAACGTAGCGCAGTCGAAGAACCGTCTCGGTGCCGTCGGCGTACAGGGAACAGGGCGTAACCCGGGCGTCGTCCAGAAGTCCTGGAAACGAAAAACAAGGATACGTAAGTCAACATTTTCTCGTCATCCACGCGCCGTAATGTCTTGTAAAGACGTGACACGCGTCTGATGGTCGCGATTTCGATTCATCAACACCCGAAGACGAAACGCGTTATCATTGGGGCGAAATTCTCTTTCGTTCTCTCTCTCTCTCTCTCATTCCTTCGGCCACCGTCTCGCGTTTTTCGCATAATCGTTTTCAGGGGTATTTCATTTCGCGGAAACGTTGACGGGTGTGTGTACGACGATTCCGCGAGCGAATCGTTCGTTTTACACACACGCATGTATAATATACGCCTTTGTGTAACAATATATGATAATTTGTGGGTGTGCAAATTCACGGCGAGCGGTGAGAAACGAACAGCCGGTTTTTCGAAAGAAGAACGAAAGAATGGGGGAAAAAAAAAAATGAAAATATAAAGTTGCCGAGTGCATTGTTTTTTTTTTTTTTGTCTTGCGAAACTTTCCGTCCGAAGAGTTTTAACAGCTGCGCCGCGCCTCGAGCCGGTCGCACGGACCTCTCTCGCGAGTAAGCCGAACACGGTTCGACGAACGTCAGTAAGGCGACTGCGACACATGATGTACTACTGCGATTGCCGCGGAAATCAAAACGATTACACTACCCGGTCTCCCGGGGAGGTGCGGTTCGGCGAGAAAATTTCACTTTTCAACGTCAACACGCGCGTAACCGTTGTTTACGCGTTTTTACCCCCGGAACGCGACCGGTGTGATCACGTTCGGACGAGCGATAATCGGTATGGAGCCGATAACGGTTAGTTACGGGCACAGTCGTATGCGCGTGCACACGAATGTAAAACGAGAATACCTAACCGTCGATGGGGCGTAAGGTAATCAAGTAGACACTTTATACATCTCTCATGTACAATACGAGCGCGCTTATAAACGCGTGTGTGTGTGTGTGTGTTTAAACGCGTTTATAATACGTCTGACGCGCGCGCTTGTGTATACGTATTCGTGTATTTATACGTATACGTGTACAATATAAGTACACAGACTGAAACGGAGACGGAGGTATAACCCATTCACTGATCTTAATCTCAGCTCATCTGTCAGTGTCAACACTTGCACTCACCCCTCTCACCCGCCTATCGGTACACCGTTTGCCCACACGATCTTTAGCTCCTCGGGCACCGAGGCCCAACCCGTCATCCCTCTCCGCCCCATCGTATGACCACCGTCAGTCAATTACCGTATACATATAAATGTTTGCGTACATCCGAACTCGTTCAAAGTTTCGTTATGATCGCAATACTCGATAAATTACAGATCCAGACACGAACGCGGACGGCACGGCCGATTTGTCGCACACCTATTCACGGATTCGCCCGGGGCGTTGATTTACGATTTTATCCGGACGGGATATGCGACGACGGTCGTAACGTACCCGGGAGGCTGCAGCCAGTCGATCGGGGCACGGCAGGCGATTACACGGGTGACACGTAACCGTTCATCTGTCTTTGTTGCTGCTGCTGTTGCTGCTGCTGCTGCTGCTGCTGATGCTGAAGTTGTTGCGGATGCTGCAGTTGTGCAGGACTAATGGTGCACGAAAAGAAAAGATTAATTTCAAAGATTTTCATATAGATTATAAATACCGATCGACAATCGTCGACGTAAAACGCGAGTACTCACGTTTTGTAAAACGGTTTGAAAGCCGTATTAGCGTCGTTAGCAGCACCCACCATCTGATGATTGTTGTTGTTAGTGTTGGTATTGTTGTTATTGTTGTTGTTGCTGTTGTTGTTATTGTTGTTGTTGTGTTGGTTGATGGATACGTGCTGTTGATGGTACTGTTGCTGTTGCTGCTGTACCTCCAGAACCGATCTGATGACTTCGTGCTGCTGCTGCTGCTGTTGAGGCGGTGGCGGCACGTGTTGCCGGTGGTGATAGTTGTTGTGCTGCTGCTGTTGGTGATGGTGATGGTACCCGTTATAAGAACCCTGATGGCCGCCGAACTGCTGTTGTTGTTGCTGTTGCTGCTGCTGCTGTTGCTGCTGCTGACCGGAAGAGGCGGACAACGGTAACTTCATGTTGGGCGGGGTCTGCGGCGGCGTGTCGGTCTGCACATCAGGATATCCGGCCATTTGCTGGGCCGACGATGACGACGAATTACTGTTGCCGCCATTGTAGCCGCTGCCGTAAAACCCGTTAGCACCGTACCTATAAAAACAATACAAGACGCACAATGAAAAAGGTGAAAGGTGAAATGCGTTCGCACAACGAGTTCGTAATTCAATCGCTCCCGATAAACACCGTCTGTGCACCGGGTTAGCTGATCCTCGACCATCATCGACCCTAGTTCCGCGCACAAATCGATTTGTGGTCAAGCCCATATGAGACGGACCGTGTCTGCACGTTTACAGTGTGGCGTTTGTGACCGGACTCGACGAGAACCGCGCGATCGCGGACACGTGTGTACGCGCCCGTTTCGGCAAACTAATCGGTGTGAAAATCGATAAAACAAAATTTCTCATAACTATCCCGTTATCGTTTTCCAACGTTTAAATACAGCCGCGAAATAGATCAATTTACCGGCAAACAGTTTGGTCGGTGCAGTGTACCGTAGACGTTTGACGATTTATCGACCGATTTACACGACGAGTTGAACGGAAAAATCGTTTTGTTCCATAGGGTGTTTATAACTCAACGCGTACTGCGTGTCGAATGTCGGTGGTGTACGAAATTACCTGGAATACGACGATCCGGACGGAGACAGCGACGAGTTGGGCATTGTGAAACTGGGCGACGCGAGGCTGGGGCTGACGTTCGGCCACTGGTGACCCGGTGGCGGAGTCTTGGACGCGGCCGTGTCGGCCAGCGACCATATTTTGGGTTTGGTCGGCGGCAATGGTATACCGCAGTCCTGGTGGTGGTCGTCTTGCATCACGTGATGGTGCACTTTCATGTGGTGCATCTGATCGGGGTGGTAGAGGTGTTGCAGCATCGGCTTTCGGTCATCGTCACCGTCCGACATCACGCCCGGCCCCATCATGTGATCGCCGTGGCTTTCTGCGCATAAACATTCGACGGTTAATATAATATTATTTGGCGCTTATACATAATGCGTGTGTAGGATAAACGACTGCATTTAACTGCACGTTGAAATACCCAGGTTTCGGCATAGGAAACGAAAAAGCTGATTTTTATGAACCGCGAAAGCGGTGTACAAAATATTTCATTTCCCCCCTCCTTTGCCCGCATCACATACCACTTGGGTTTCACCGAAATTCACGAAATCTTGGGATTCGCATCAGGAATCATTCATTGTTTCGCGCCAGAATAGTTCCTATCGAAAGCTCTACCGCAAGTTTTCAAATCCAATAACGATGATGGAACATGGTCGACGATATCCAGTATATTTTTTTACGCTCGATTTCCGTTACCGGCTTCGCGAAAGCCCCGACTGGGATGCATTTACAATTGAAAACGTTCGCAAGACAGCGGTGCGCGGATCAAGGGTGAATCGAAAAAACCGCGGGCATTCGATGCAATATTACGTAGTCCGATGTCGAGAAACACCGTCACGTTTGATTTTTCACAGGGAATACAGACACGATGAGCACGAACCGGTGCCGAAAAACGCGGTCGCGCATATTCGTGATGAACCCTTCGTGCGAGATCGTACGAATAATTAAACATCGGTGCCGTGAGAACTGGCAGCGCCTACTGTGCTCGACACGCGTATTTCAATACACGCTCGTACACGGCCGCGGTGTAAGGGGTTACAATGCGGTTATGCGACCGTCCAACACGGACGGTAACCCGTAAGAGGCGTATAATAATGAAAAGCGCGCAGCCGGCAAAAGTGTCCGACGCACACGATCGCGGAACACAATAAGGAGAAAAATAAAACGAAACGACTCGGAATCTCCGCGACGCGCGTGTAAGGCGCTGCGCGGGGCCGCGTAACCGCCGACGGGGCACGCACGGGCGCGTGAGCGCGTGTAATTGCGCGGATATGCAAATATTATACGCTCACGAATCGAGCAGCATCCGCGCGGATGATATTTACACGTACGTAAAGCTGCCGTTGTTGCTGCCGCATAACATTGTAATCGCGCGCGCTAGCGATTCGCACGGTAAATATACATATTTATGTACACACAGAAATGTATATAAACGGGCGCGCGCGCGACGCATGACATCTTTATATAAGAAACTGGAATAAATTATCGTTTTGTTTTTATTTTTTCGTACGCGGACCGGGTGTGAAACGGATCGCGCGGTCGTGACCGGCCGAGATGGCCGAGATAAAGCCGAAAGCCCTACTGTTTTTAGTATACGCGCGCGCACGACAGGACGGCGCACAATGCGACCATGAATAAATATAACACTGAACACTATATACAAATGGGCACGTCCCGGAGGCGACAATGATTCATCCGCAGCAGCCGGGCAAATGGATTCGGCGTTCCCGCGAGACCGGGTCGGTCGCGACTCAATTTTAAACGGCCGTATTACCGTATATACATAACGTACACGACGAGGCAAGTCCCCTCGTGGCCGCTCTTGCCGTATTATATAGGATTGTCGTCGGGGAGAGAAAAAAAAAAATAATAATGCTCTTTTCGTTAATAGCTTTGAGATGATAATAATAATACTCCACGCGTTTATGTAATATACTGCAAGGGTGCGTCGTGTCGATGGAAAAGCTCTTATATAATTTTCGGCTACAGCGAGGGTCTAACGCGCACGTATTCCACAAGTGTCCGGGCGAAGGGGCCGTCGGTCGAGCAGAAAAAGCTCGAGTAAATAAACTCTTCGCCAATTACGCTAATGCATTATTACGAAGGTGGTATGTACAATCGTTCCGAACGATTTTGCATGCCCCCCCCCTCCAGCAGCCACAACTCGGTTAGGTAAACATATGTTTCTTACCTTTTCTGATATCTTTTAGTTTCTCGTCACCCATCAGCATGTCGTCCTTGTCTTTGTCCTCGCAGTCCGAAGATCCGGCATCGTCGTCGTCATCGTCCGTCTTGTTCTTGGGCTCCCACGTCATCTTGTTCTCCTTTTTCAACCGTCTTCTAGCGTTTGCAAACCAAGTGCTCACCTGCGTGAGGGTCATCTTAGTAATGATGGCCAACATGATTTTCTCGCCCTTGGTCGGGTACGGGTTCTTCTTGTGCTCGTTCAACCACGACTTGAGCGTGGCCGTCGATTCCCGAGTCGCGTTCTTTCGCCTGGCCGCCAAGTCGTATCCTGCGCTGTACCTGCAACACCGCGAAAACGTACCGTAAACACTTCCGGATCGAAACCGATTGACATTTTATATTTTCTACAAAAATTGAAAACACGCTTGCACATAGCAGGAGGCAACTGGCGAAGAGAAGTGCTGCCGAAAGATGGTGGTAGTGGTGGTGGTGGTGGTGGTGGTGGTGGTGGTCGTCGTCGTCGTCGCGGGGACGAATCTCGCGAGATTTATGTTCAATACCGGTTAGATTTATGCATCCATACGCAGTTGACCCCGCCAGGATGTATACGTAATTTATGCTCGTCGACAACTGGCGCATATTCGTCCGCGCACACACACACACACACACACTATACTTTATTATTGTTTCTGTCTCCCATGGCATATTTTTAATATTTTTTTTTTTTACGTGTGCGCCCCCGGTCCGGCGAGTACCCCGCCGGGTTGTCACAACATGTCATCCGTATAAATAATAATACGCGGTCGACCGAGAATAATGCACGCGCGCCACCGTCTAATTTGTAATCACGCGGAACCGTAAGTAGTATTACGACGGAGAATAATAAAACGACGAGAAATGGAAGTAATAAGAGTGAGAGAGAGTGTGTGTGAGAGAGAGAGAGAGAATGAGAGAGAGAGTAGAAATCTATTAAGTCGTCGTCGAGAATCAATGGCCGATACTCGGTACGAGTTACGGTGTTACAGCATAACAAAAGCTCTGGGGATTATATCGTATAATAATAAGAGGCGGTCGGGACGGAACTGTTTTATTATAACGTAAACAACAACCCAGTGGGCTGGCGTACACGTATACATATGTAGGTACCTGCTGATTGTATTATGTAAAAGATAAGCCATCATGCCGTAAACTATGAATATTAAAATGAAATAAAAACATAAAAATAGGTAGGAGAAAAAACAGAAAAATAAAAATCAATGCCCTTTGAGTTGGTCTAAAAACTCCACGGCGGCGACGGTCGTAATCGAGGTTTTTTACTCTGTATATGGCCTCGGTATAACCGGTGCGTGACGGCGGTGGCGCCGAGTAATCGATATTATCGCCGGCCATTTTGTCTTGGGTAGTACTACTACTAGCAGTTACTACTAGTAGTACTACTACCGCTGCGCTACTGCGAAACTCTGAACGCGGTAAAAACTTTTCCCGCAACACGAAAGAAGGGTGAAACAAAACAAATACTCTGCGTACAAACAAAAACAGAACTTACCCGTAAGCTGCCAGAGTGGAGTCGTAATGATAATAGCCGGTGGATGGTTGCAGACTGGCGCTGGACCACATGTCCGACGAGCCCGTCGAGTCTTTCAGTCCGTACGGATTGCTCTGCGAGGGGAAAAAAAAACACGAATGTCTATAAGAAAAATGCAATTTTATTTTTATTTTTTTATTTTACCCGGAACAATATAACGTATGACGACGGTCCGTGCGGCGCGCAACTTATTTCGAACACGTTGAGACGACAATCAGGTCGGGCGAGTCTATAAATCGACGACCGTACGTGTACCCGTGCAACCTACATACGTACGCGCGTGCACACGTATGTGTAAGGCGGCTTATAATAATACGTGCACACACACGTGTATATACGCGTACGAAACTGGTCGAGATCCGAGAGGTAATCCCCCCGTTCGCGTACACAAGTACACGATTTGCCCAGGAGGTCCGACCCGTCAACGTCATGGAGGTCGCGCCGCCGCACGGTATCCTTGTTACTATTATTGTCGTCTACGTCGTGGTACAAAAGACGACGGAGTTGGTATACGACAACCGCGGCGTTTCGGCGGACACCGACCCGATCTATTATGAATACATCATAGTCGCATCAACAACACGATTGATGGTACTTCACGTAGCTGGTATACGAGCCGAAAGTATCGGTGGTGTGCGTAAACTTTCGACGTCGAGAACGCAATACTTAGATACGCGATTTCAGATCGATTCAACAGGTTACCAATAAGGTTTTGAAGTCGATAATTCGGATTTTTTTTCATATAGTTTTTAATACAACGATGTCTGATATATATATATATCAACGGTCCTGAACGGCAGAAAATTTTTATGAATACAGAACTGGTTTGCTCTCCGCTCTTCCGCAACTCAAGTAACATATCTATTTTATGTGGCTCACTTTAAACCGTAGAGTATGTAATATATTTGTTTTACGATCGTTTATTTTTAATTGATACGTATCAATAAAAACGTACACAACGATTGCCGGTCTAATTATCCATACACACGTTTTTAATCCGTACCAATCACTTTACATTCACTACCGAACGCAATTAAAACGATGATAAATAGAAAAAAATATGAAGAAACAATTGACAACGTGTCGTACGCAGCTGTTAAAATTATCTAAATACTATTCATTGTCATAATTGTTATAAATATTAATTATTTATGCTTGAATAGAAATGTAAAACTGTGTATCATATGTAGATGGGCGATTGTTCAATACCTGATGAAATATTCGCACGGTCGAATAAATTATTATTATTATTATTATTGGGGAGTTTGACTATGTATCTCGGTCATAATGTATAGTAAATGAACTCGAAAAACGATTTTCACGCAATAAGTACTGACATGAATTGACAAATAATGACTTTATACGCAAATGCTTTCCGCCGGGTACACACATATATAACGATCACCGTTCGTGTCAATTAATAAATCATACCGTATACTGGTCTGTATAAATGTGTATAGTAATATATATATATATATGGCATATACGCATAAGCTCCTTTTCTCTTATCCTTACAGTTTTCTCGATCGCTCTGTACGAATTCCAGTTTGCAATAGCGTTTTTACCATCAGGTTTAATCCGCTCGGTCGCGCGAGAGCGTACATCATCATTATTATTATTATTATTATGTTATAACCACACTGTATACGTATAACGGATAAGCCAGCGGAGTGCATATGACTAAAATGTTGCGTACAACGTGTAATAAATCGACATTCGTGCGTCGTATCGCGGGAGGAGCGTACACGTACCACGGGGTAACTGCAGTTATGATAAACCACCAATAATACAGTTAATATATTTTTACTGTATTTGTGCGTAATTATACGTTTACGTTTGTCGAACACCTTTCCGTACACTGCAGACATAATGATTACACGTCACAAAACAATAACGTCGTACACGAACGAATTTGAGTCTCATTGAAGAAACAAAAAAAAAAAAAATAAACGACGATCGAGTGAACGATTTTCGAAAGATTTACGCGAGTGCGCTCGTCGTGCACACACATTTACAAATACAATGGACGGGCGGCGCGCGACGTTCCGTCACGTAGTCAATATAATAATATTTCGCCTTATTATTATTTTTTTCCCCGTCACCGACGTCTATTAATATATTATTATTATAATCGCGTCGAGAATTTAATCGGAGAAAAGCTCGTAAAAGTACGGTATACATATGAACATTCGAAAAGTGTAATAGGACGGAGACGCTCAAGTGTCGCATAAGGGTACACGTATTGTGACTTCGCAGTGTTTATAATGAAATAATACGATTTTAATAACCGGTTTATCTCGCATATTGTATAACACACACACACACACGCGCGCGCGCGCGCGCTATAAATGTACGTACGTCCCGGCAGAGGGGTGTGCACAGTCGCGTGGGAGTGCGCAAATATTTGGTCTCTTGCAGCAGCTGGGTCAGGCGTTGAAGCCTTCGCCTCCTACTCCCTACGCTCGTCCCGTATAATCACTCGCCCTCGCCCTCGGTCCTTAGGTTAAGTGTTAGATACGGCTCCCCGGGGATCGGCGGCGGCGGCGGCGGGGCGTTAAGAAGCCACCCTGTGGGATACGCGCTTTTAATATTAAATATATATACTGTGTACCATAATGTGTGCGCACCCTCGGAGGAATTTCACGGCTTCCCGGTTTTAGCTGCGCGCTCATAACACGTATACATATTGTATATGCACGCGAAGGGGACGACGACCCAACGACGTCTGCGACGACGACGATGACAACGCGATGACGTGCCGCGCGCGCGTATATTTATATTAAAATTCATTGACGGCCGGGCGGCGCGACCTCAGCAAACCGTCGCGGGAATGAATTTCCCGTTCCTTTTCGTTTCCCGTTGTTTTATCATCTTTTTCTAAGCTAAAAAAAAAAAAAAATAACCGAATCGATTCGACGAACAAAAAAACGTACGACGCGCAACAATCGCCGTTTGTATACGACCGATTTATTATCGCACTGCTGCCCGTCCTGTTGCAGCCTACATATATCTATACGCACACGTGGCAAACGTACAGTATTCGTAGCCGGGCGAGAAGAAAAATACGCGGTCGCTCGCTTCTCAAAGTACATTATATGAACATACAGCGCACGATAAAATACTTGATATACAAGGGGAGAACGAAATGGTTTTCTATTTACTATGCGTTCGTCGGCTGCGGGATTTCGAAATAAAAAATAAATAAATATTATGCCGAGAGAAAAACCGATTTCCATAAAGCCGAAATAATATATCGCGGTAATACACCGGGTATACAGTATTATTATATTCGCGGACATTACTTCGACGAGTATAAATATTACGTATACATTGTGCCCGTTGTAAGAGAAATTTGTCGAATAGCATATTTTTTCAATTATTGAAATTCAAACTATAAAGATGCATATTATACATAAATTTTTATAACATGATAATAAATGTATAGTATTTATCGGAATATTTAACGTTTCGAAAACTGTAAAATCCATAGTTTACATAAGTGTTCGGTATACGTAAGTTATTATCTACGCATTATAATAATGCAAGAATGCACCTGATTCATAGTAAAACAAAAAAATAATAAAACGATTAAAATGTGATTTTCACGAGCAATAGACTAAAAGTTTTCGTACGGGGCGAATACATAAGTTACGGGACCGTGTCCCCGCAAACCGCTTGCAATTTACGGATGCTACGTAATCTAAGCGTTCACGACGAGGTCACTGCAATAGAAAAACTTTTAGTTTTTATTGCTGGTATAAAAACGACGGAATACATAGTGCTACATTTATTATAGGCTGTACTCGCGCGTAAACAGTTGTTCCGCAGCCGGTACGAATATTTTACCGCAGAGAAAAATATAATTCGATATAGTTGATGGCGATGGCGATGGCGGCGCGGTGAAGTTACGCGCGTTATAGTCATACAAAAATGGACGGAATAGAATAACAAAAAAAAAAAAAAAATAAATAAATAAAAGAAAAAAACAACAAGAGGTTTATCTTACAGAAACATCGCGTCGTTTACAACGCAACGGCGGCGGCAGGAAATCCGGTGGGAAATTATGTCCGCGTTCCCACAAATATGGCATTTTACGCGTACGGTAGAATTTTCCTATCGCCCTGTCAATTTCTATCGAACGCGTCAGTCCGTGTATATAAATAACGTGTATACGCAATCGCGCTCTCAGCACTTTACCGTCAGCTCTCACACATCGCCCTCCGTTCCTTCAAAAACTCGGTCGGATGTCCAGGCAGCTAGCGCGCGCGCGCCGCATCGCCATAAAAGAAAACCCGTCGCGCGCCCAAACACGGTTTAGCTTTATCCGAGTCGTTATTCTCTCGACGTATATACCCCTTTTCACCACTACCCTGACCCGTTGTCGCCGTACAACGTCATCCCCCAACAGCTCGCCGCCGCTACCGCCGGATTCTGCGCGCGGTGTATAACAGTAAAATATATTTATATTGAACGCATTCACACGCCCTCTTCGCTGTACTGCATGTATGTATGTGTATAGTTATAAATGCGAGAAACGCTTTCGATATAAACGTATACGCTCGCGTACACATATATAAATACGTACATAGGTGGTACGTGCGACGGACGGGCTTTTAACGCGTTACCGCCACCACCGCCGGGGAAATCGCAACACGGTTGAATATAGACGTATACACGATGTTTGGGAAATTGCACCTGTTTGTCGGTGAAGTGGTTTACCGCGCGCGGTGTTAATGGCCGCGCGCGTTTGTCCCGCGGGGTGATCAATCGCCGAGGATTAGAAAACGCGGGAGTAGAAAATAAAGAAGAATAAAAAAAAAAAAAAACCGTTACACATACCCTGTATTATGTTCGAGGAGCACCGAAATCCACTTTTGAACGGCGAAAAAATTGCGAGAACGCAATACGGTACGCGGATATTATTATGTAATAAATCGCGAGCACTTGCGGCATACACCCATATACGTACAACGTTATACGCGTCTCGTTCGGCGGAGCGTGTCCGTCGCACACAAAAGATCTCTCTCGAGGTAGGCGTACACACCAACTATCTTATATGCTGTGAGCACAATTTATCAAGTATATTTTCGTTTTAATCGTCGCGTACAATAATTAAATGTATATAATTAACCGTTGGAAGGGGTTGGTAGCTTTCCGTAATGCGTCGTGAAATTAAGTTTCGTGTAGAGTATGATATTTCGACGGTTCACCGAAGGGTGCGCAAACAGCCTTGGGACACGCGGTAAAGGAATAATATAATATGGAAAATGTGCGAATTTACGTTACGGTATACTTTTAGTTTGGTCTAGATAAAGTCCGTAGTAGTGAGCGCGTAAATTGAAACAAATCGATTTATACTTTATTTCATATGTATTTAGTGCATTATTAGTAGTAGCCTAGCATTATTCAAATGAACGCGGTAACGCTCGCACGATGTACCGGCCTCGTCATTGCCGGAGTAAAAATTCGTACCTATACACACGTTATGGATTTCTGAACTGGAATAATTACCAATTGGACATATTTTAATTCGTAACAAAAACCAAACGATAACCGTTAATAGCCGAATATAACCGAATAATAGTTGATAACAAGGTACACACGATTATGGAAAGAGTTATTTGAGTGTATTGTACTATATGATAAATGGAAATTAGTTTGCGCGATAAGTATATTATTTATGTTTGGATAAAAAATATGTGTCGTGCATGTGTGTACAATACATGTACACTTCTACACTTGTGTAAAAAATTCTTTCGCGACAACAATACATTCCGGTAAATATATATTTATGTATATTGCATTTATACTTATGGGTTGTTGTAGGTACTGCAGCCCAGAAAGTAGAAGAAACTTAGAAAAATAACTTTGCGCCGTGCACACAAATAATCACCGTGCAAACAACAGTCCATCGCGTCTATTGTTTATATACGATCATTTTTATTTTTTTCATTCTTCTACTATTTTTTTATTTTATTTTTTTATTTTTATTTTTTGCACTCTTCTATAATTAGTGTCGGTTGTAAAACGAGAAATATACCGACATTTAATACGATATTATTATGTAAAACACGGCCGCCACAATGGTCGTCGGCGTGCATGAGTTATGGTGGACGTAAGTAGAAGCGAAGGGTTTACGAAGGGGGGAGGCGAAGTGCGTGTGGCGGGCGGAAGAAGGGGCACACCATTAAAGTCGACAACAGGTCAATACGTTGTGGGAACTCGTATTACGTCTATGTGTGTGCGAGCGTAGTGTGTGTCTGTGCGTATGCAAACGCGTGCGTATGTGTGCGTGTTTACGCGTATATAATATATATATATATATATATATATATACAAACGATATGATTGTCCTGTATTGGAAGAAACGAGAAAAGGAAGTGTATGAAGTCTATATAGGACATTGTGGCGCCAAACTTAGTCTGAACAATGTTACCGTGTTTGCGTGTGTGTGTAGGTATATTTTCCGCTTTCAATCCTCTCCGCGCTATCAAAGTAATACCTTTTATTCCTTCAGGATCGTGCCCGACCGGTCAGTGCTGTATGGACGTGTGCGGTGTAAAAATATAAATCCCTTCTTACAGTCGAGTGTAAATCCGTAGCCGAATACGTGACTGGAAATCGTGACAAAGGGTGTATACGTATGTATATAAATGTATATCTATATATATTATATACGCACTGTATACATGATAATATATACCGCATATTTCCGGAAGACTCGCCTTAGCCACCACCACTCAAAAGCTCTGCGCTCGGTCAACTTGAAAGGTCAACTCAATTTCCCCCAAATATAATTTATAGACATTTTTCGCAGATACGCTCCAATTCCGACCTGCAAAGAGAGAGGGGGGGGGGTGAAATACTTCATTTCCCACGTTCACATCGAGGTGCACATACCGAAAAGTTTCCAAGTGCTGCCCGACTCTTTATAAATACATAATACACATTATTAGTACGTTATTGTTGAGCAACACGTGCAGTATTGAATACCGTTCAACAATAATAATAGATGTACAAAAACAAAAGTCTCTTGTTAGGTCGTGTAAATTTTGGATTAAAAACGATCGAAGGCACTAGAAAATCCAAAAGAATACACACAAAGAAGAATACAACAACTCTTTGTATTTCGTTCAATCCATTACACCTGCAGAAGTATGTTATGCTATTGTCCCATGTTGTATATTATAAATTATAATCTTTCAAGCACACCTGGGACGATTACTGACGTTTGTCCTTCGTAAAAAAAAAAAAGAACAACTCAAATTCCGGAACTATAATCTTATGTAGTACGTATAGTTTTAAATTTACATATTCGTAATGATTAGTAGGATGGTTTAAAAATTTGAAAATTCACTCGAAAAACATTAGTATTTCCTGTGCTCCGTGCGTGTATAATTAAGGACTAATAACGAGGACGATATACGCAGCGTCATCGAGCACAGCACCGCCCAATGCATACAACGGATAAGAGTATTATTGTTTTCGACGTCATCGCACGCGTACACAGTAGCGCATACAATAATAATACGTGTCAGTGGGATAACGTATCAATCAACTGCATACAAGAGCGTTATACACATACCCATTATCGTCATTCTCTCTCCCACTTTCTCTCACTCTGTACGTCTCACTTAGTTCTGATCGTATATAAACTCATTGATATAAAAGATGCTCGTGTTTATATTCATCAATCTACCCCTCATATATATATAGATACCGTTATTTTTCACGCGGCGGCAGCGTTTACTACCCTCTTTATACTCACTTGCTCGTATGTGTATATATAGTCATAAGCTTCTCTCTTTATTTATTTTTTCACTCCCCCAAAAAGCCTCTTTTAGTGCGTTGCCGCCGTCGCCGTCAATTTTCCGCTCGTTAATGAAGCCTCCGCCCAGGCAGTTGCGGTTCTCTCATGCGCTCACACACACACACACACACACGCACCCACGCACGCACAAACGAGTAGGGTGTATACATACATATAGTAATATCGCGGTATAGTGGTAGTAGTGGTATACAGAGTACATATATAAGGAAGCATACAGTTCGCGAAATCACCGCTACCGCACTCTCCACCGCCGCCCGTCGATAAATCACGCCCCGCGCCGATTTCCACCCCTCCAACGTCAGCGTCGGTGGCGGCGTCATCTCCTCTCCCCGGTTAACCGGAGGCTGTGGCGGGAGCGGATTGATTTATGAACATTGCACTTCGCGCGCGCCAAAGCTTCTTCTCTCGCCGACGCCACAGCCACCACGGCGACCCCTCCTCTGCGGAGTTTATATACACGCCCGATCGTATAATAGTCCTTTGCTCGCAAAGGCTTTTTATTTCCGCGAGCGCACCCCGAATAATCGAATATAATTGATACTGGATTATATGGACGACTTGACTTATGGGCTCGCGTTAAAAGGGCCATTAAAAAAAAAAAAAAAAAGAACGACGATAGAAAAAAAACCCAAGATCCGCGGGCGCGTGAAATTAATGCCAAACAAACAATACACGATGTAGCGTGTACACAATGCTATCATGCTGCAGTTTCCACGTCGCGACCGACGAAAACACTCAGTCACAAATTCGAAACAACGCGATCGATTAATTATCGTAATTATACGTAATAATAACACACAATTGACCGTATAATATTGCATTGTAAACAGAATATAATTAGATTATATAGGGGAACCGATGGTTTTCTTGCGTGCCATGCCGAATCCCAGCCATTACATCGTTATATTTATACAAATAATTATTGTTCAATATACGTGCATATTATAATATTTATATTACATTTATGTACACCACGTTGAGCTTAATATGAAGTCGAGAAAATTAAAAAAATAAAACTGTATACACGAACACCAGGACCGAACGAAAAGCTCAATTATCTCCGAGCGTTTAACACATTTTTACGCATTTAAACATGTTCGAAATACTACTAATTACGGTTCGTAAGACAGACGACGACCGTCTCGAACATAATGTAGGTACTCATATTACGAGTACTATTCGAGAACAATGATGCACTCGCTTAGAATATACGGTATGAAGACGATAGGGGCGTATTTAGACTTACTACTAGGGGGAGGGGCGACTCAAATTTTTTCTATAATTCAGGTTCAAAATTTACAAGTAAAGTTTTTGGTAATATTTAAATCAGGTGAATTCTTAATATTTGTGGTGTTTTTTTTTTTCAATCTCATGCCGAATCCACTTGTATTCGACGACTTTTATGCAGTTCTTTTACAACACCTGTCTGTGTATTGATAGTTACGCTCGTGTTTTATTTGATTTTTCACTAAGTAGGTACGGACCCGACAAAAAGCCCAATTCAGTGTTCACAGCCACGCGTAATGCGATTTCGTTATCAGATGATCCACATTGGGAAAATTCGGAACACGTATCTCACGTACGATCCTAATTCCTTATATACGGATTAAAGGGGGAGGATCACCCCTTCGCCTTCACCCCTAAAATACGCCGGTGGAAGACGAATGGTTCGCGGAAGATCAGCGGGGAACCACCCGCGATGATGCGACGTCGGTTTTCGGGATAAAAGTTTCGGAACGGAGTCGAAACGAATGCGATCGCGCGCGCGCAGCGGCATTGCGTTACGGAAATTCGAACGACACTTACCAAGTGCGGGTAGAACGACGACGTGTCGATGCTGGGGTACGGGTTCTGGTCCGTGGACGGGTACGGCGCGTACACTGCTGTGGTGGCCGGCGTGCTGCGGTGGCTGGCGTAGTGCGGCGGCAACGACGCGGCCGCGGCCAGCTGGCACGAGCACACGGCGGCCACGGCGGACTCGGAACCGGCCCGGTCGCCCGGCACACCGCCCGCAACGGTACAGCACGTGCCGCAGCCGGCGGCGCCCATGACGTCGGGCGATAAGCCGCCGCCACCGCCGCCGCCCCCGCCGCCGGCGGCCAACGGTGGTGATACTGACTCTCCCGTCATCACGCTCTGCGAAAACAATACACACAACGATAATGTTTTGATTGATACAAGAATATTTTTATTTTTTTTTTTGAGGGAGAAAACGCGACGATACAATTGCCATGCCGCGCTCGTGTCGGGCAGCGATCGACTACGCGGCACAACACCTATTACGTACACGAAATCGGTGGCGTAGGGAGACTCGCTAGCGCCCCTGGCAGATTTAGAAAAAGTAACATTTCTAACCAATTAATATCCGATGTTATGATATTTTTTTTAACCTTTAATTTTACTAATATTTACATAGTATACAATTTATACTTTTACAAGTTATTATTACAATGTTAATTTTAAACTTTGAAAACTTACTTTTTTCGCTTTATGACTGGCGTCTACGTATTTTAAATAGGTATAATGGGAAAAATTCGAATTAATTGTAGGATAAAACACAGTTCTCTAAACCCTTGCTACCCCACTGCACGTAATGTAACAATCTACTTATCAATTATTTACGCACCGCGCAATTTATTCAAATCCAACGCGCAGACCGTTGGTCCGGTAAACCGTATGGGTGACCAAAAGTTACTCAGAAGTTGTTAAATAAATTGAAGTTCAAGACTATTTTATTGGCTACGGTACCATGATGATTGGGTATACGATCGATATAGGTAGTTACCGCGTTCCTAGAGAGTGGTGGCATTTTAGAAAAGGACACTTGCCCACGTTTAATTTTGAAAGCCACTCGATGCGTTGTTAGCATGGTTTTTTCGTATTTTTAAGAAACCGTGTGCATTTTGGGGGACAAATATTGGTTTATTTCCGGACAGCTATCAGAGGATTAGTCCCATGTGAAAAAAATCTGAAATTACAACGCTGTATTCCTAGATACCCCGCATTTCAATATATTCAAAATAAAATCTGGTAACGATATTAACCGCATAAATACATATATATCGCGGTAGAAGCGGCGAACTGTTTTTGTCTCCGTAACTCTCAACAGACGAGGTTGTCGCTTCATAGTTTGACCGAGAACGTATTGCACATCTGTGCTTCGATTATTTCACACTCGATCTGTTCACTACCCTGCATAATATAATAATATGCAGACTTGAACACTGCGCGCCCGTAACCATCGTACACATCGTCTTAACGAAAACACTATAATACTATAGATGTACATCTGTTTATTAGAACTATTCGTGCCATCGTAGTTTTACAAAAAACGATGATTGTTTAAAAATTGACAAAATATTTCACATATTGGATGCTTTACTTGTATTTTTTGTTTCTTTTTTCCTTACTTTCGAGCCAACAACATTCGCAACATTTCCATTATTATTGTTGCATTGCTGTACTCGTCGCTCCGCTAAACGTAATCGGTTATTCACACAATAAAGTTATCATTATGATTGTTGTATCGCAGGGACCATTTTTGCGCGGCTGAAAACGTTCGAACTCGAACCGACACACGCTAAGCATGTATTCGCGTATACGCAGGAAAAAAAAAACGAGTCGCGCAGCCCCGAAATTATCGCCTTTTCGCTATTTTTTTCAATCAATGTACTTCGTAATAACACTAAACGCCGTCGTCACCTACACAGTTCGCTCTCACGTTATTACGACACACGTCGACGACGTCGTTATCATACCGTAATATATTATTATTTTCGCGTCTCCGTTATTCTTCTCCCTGTCCATGCCGTACTCGCCCGTCTAGAAGATATCTGTTTCTCTCACCCGAGCCCCGGTCGTCGTATAATTATTTTAATTGGCCATTCGATACTTGTGCGCGCGCGCGTCCGGACCGGTTGTTGCGAGGTGTGAACCCGAAAGCGCTTCGTCGGGTTTTCGAGAAAGGTAACGTAAACACCACGAACGACGTATATGTCGTCGTAGACACCACAACTCGACCGCAAAAACCAATAGACCGGAATGACGGCGGCCGGCAGACAATAATGAAAATATACAACTCCCATAATAACAACGTAAATGTAAAATATGTATAAGCGTATATAGGATAGCCCTCGGTGGCCGTCTTGGGAGTTTTTTTTTTTCTTGGTCATTGATTATATCGCAAAATAAACGCGATGCGACGTCTCGTCATCGGTCCGATCGACAGAATAATCGTTGCACGCCCGCCGATGTCTTACATGATGTTTGTCCGTGTTACGTAACATAATAAAAGAGTATGATTTTAATGCGCACCGTTTCATATTTATTTAGTGTTATACATTTGAATAGCGTTAATAGCTTACAACAATATATATTTTTTATATAAAAAAGTAGAAAAAGTGTTATTGTATTTTAAGTGTATGTTTAATCTCTTTTTTTTTTTGCTTGTATATATTTATTGCATATTTTTGGATATTTTTAACAACTATATTAGAGTTAATCATATCGTATAATTTTGTATACCACATAAATTCTATTACAAGTTATAATAATATGATCGATGGGAACTACAAAAGTATAATACAGTATGGAATATTGATGATTAGTAGTCCAAATGGAAAAATTCGAGCTTTCCGCAAATTAATTGCCGGATTGCTTAGCTAACTCTCAGCACAAAGTGTGGGACATAAATATGAATTTTCAACTTCCGCAGTGATCGAGAATCCAATCCGTATATTAATGATAATAATAATATTTTATCGGAATGTAAATGCTATGTCTTTACGCGCGATGTTACGGACTAAGAGTCGATTTCGTGGTTCGTCGTGTACATATAGAACACATCCACAAATATTAGTAATTATCATGGTGTAGATCACATTCTTTCATAATTATTATTTTTCATGTTAATAACAATAATCATATGATAAATAATTAATATCGATTCCGACCACAATATTGTAAACGGATAAAACTATATAATACACAGACACACGTAATATATACACATACATACACGTGTCAGACTTACCTAATGCCGAGACACTACACACAAAAACGGATGTGGGGTACGGGGAGGAAAATGTAATAAAATTCTATAATTTATACATGCAGCAACAATTCATAAATATTTATGAACCCGTTTTCGTGGGCTACACTCTCACACCACCACTACCACTCTACCACCACCGTGCGTACGCGATGCGTTCGATCGTCGTACTGATAACAGCTATTATTACGGTTATATATTATATGCGCGAACATAATATACATAAAATATAAAATACGCGCACACGCGCAATTTTTTTATTTTCTCATTCTATTGCCAGGCACAGTATACGTTATTGTGTATGTGTATCATGAGCTAAAATGAGCTTTTGTTAATTAACATTTTGTATATATATATACAAATATATATGTGTACACCAACTACCTATGCTAAATGTAATAAGAATTTTAATATACTGTTGGTGCATACACGACATCGCCGTCGTCGCCACGCGTTTTAATTGCGGTACCGATAGCGAATTTCATTGGGTTATCAATCAACATTGTATATAAGGGAAAACTCGTGTTTTCGGTCCGATTACCTGTACAAGAAACACGTGTCACAACCTCTAAGGAACGCGTACGAATAGACGGCGGCGGCGGTACCTCCCTTCCCCGAACTCGATAAACAATATAATATGGTATTATTATTATTATTTTTTTTTCAGTAAAATATTTCGAATATAATATGGACCGAAAGAGTTTTTTGAAAAAAAAAAAAAATGACCACAGTGCGAGAAAGACAAAAGTCTATACCGTATTTTTTCAGTTTCTATCCGAGAGAGATGTTGACACATTGTTTACATACTTAACGTCCCACACGACATAAACGAAATAATATACGAGCTTATTGTTGGAAAATAATAATATAAAAACGTTGACAAGATTATTGTACACATACGCGGCGGCGCTGTGGTGGTTTTTTACGATTATTTATTATATTAATACATTATACTCTTCTTTTTTTTCTCTCTGCTCTCCTACAATCCGCCTCGACGGCTATCTTATGGTCACCGCAGTTATGCCCCGCTCGCCACAATGCCGCCCGCCACCGCCCGTGACCAAAATGATTCATTCGCACCGAAACCTGTGTTTATATATGTTTAATATAATATTGCGTTTGACAATGATAAAATATATAACACGTAATGATATCAAAACTTTTCGAATATAAGATGCAGTTGGACGAAAAGCGTATTTATATGTTAAAATAATCCAAACGACGTTCTGTATACATACAGGTACGCAGGTGTACTTATTATTATTGTAAACGATAATAATAATTAAAAGTCGCATATATTCTATCTGTTGTGGAAACAATGAAACGCATATTTGCGTATTTTGAAATGAAAAAAGATATTACTGTCGGCTGCCGATTGGTGGACCGTAAACCCTAGACTACTCATTTTTGTGCTTATACCAATACATGTTTATATATGTTTATACAACTTATAAATACCGCAGCACTCGGAACAAAACTTATACAGGAGGTATTGTGTGTAAAGTAGGAATGCAATTAGTTAGTTACTACTACTACTCGAATTGCGAGTCACGAACGACCTTGTCCCATCAAATCGAATGGAACAAAACTACATTAATATCGGTAACTAAACGATTTCTTTACACTGACAGCAATTTATTACATGATTTATCGAGAAAAAAATTGTCAAGAAACGGAATATACGGATAAACGATTGACCACTGCACCGAATGTCCAATATGTACATAAATATATATATATATAACTGTAGATATGTACACACTATACTAACGTAAAAGTATAACTTATAATATATTTTAATTTAGGGTCGACGGAAATATTCTGAAAATTAAACGAACTAAGATTGCGCGGACTTTGCGCTGCTTCAATGAAAATAAACCAACGAGTATCATAAATTAATATAATTAATGATTCTCAGGCTAAAAATAAAAATATTCTAATTAAAAATTATAACTTGTTAAAAATGTGTACCTAATTGTATTATGTGCGTTATAACCAATAATTAAAAATATTCGCTGCAGATTATACTCAAAAATCAAGCCGTAACAAACTGTTTTACAAAAATGTCCAATTAGGACTTCGACCG